CTCAGTTTTTTTTTTTTTTATAAAAAACGATATGGTTCTATATAAACTCGGTTTCGATTCATATATATAACTCTTATTTCGGTTTCGGTTCTACATAATACTCTCTCTTTTTTATTTTCTATAAACTTGATTTCGATTTATATATTATTTTCTGTAAGACGGAGCAATCAGCTGCTGCCTGGCCATGTCTGACGATTTTTTTTTTCTTAAATCCCCTATTGAAGCTCGACCTTTGAGCTTGAATGTCGACTTTTACGGCGCCGTTGCATCTGAATCGAGGAGGTTGATACCGAGCTTAGCGGTGAAGGATGACGCCAGAGAAGACGACTCCAACGGTGGCGAAGCAGCGGCGCGAAGGCGGCAACTATTTCGCTGGAGTCTCTTGTGCGCAGACGATGGAGGCACGGCGGCAGGTGGTGGCGGTCACAGTGTGATGCTGGTGTCGTGTGCATCTTTTCGTGTGTGTGCATGTTATGTGTGTGCTGAAGTGTATGTTGTGTGTATTGTGTGTGTGCGTGTGTTGGTGTGTGGGGGTGCTGACATGGCGCACACGTGTGTGTGTGTGTGTGTGATTGTGAGTGAGAGATATATGGAACTAGAGATAGGGGTGATTTGGCAGGTAGGTCCCACGTGTTAATGATTGTGTGGTGGCGTGGATACCATTGTTTGTGTATGAAGACGATACAAACAAGCGAAGCGAAGTTCAATCATCAAAATTCAGAGAGTACCAAATTACTCTTAATGAAGGTATAATTTTGGCTTTTTTAGCTATTAACTCTTGCGATCTAATAACTACGATTTAATCTTATTTCTTTCATTAACAATCATTCTCCCTTGAACCCAACCATATGTGTGTGTGTATATATATATTACTCAGAGTGATGTTTCATATTTGACATATGTACATGCGTAGAATAAAAGCTATTTATCCATATAAAATGAAATTTTAGTATATCAGTCGATAATAAACATAAAATAATGAACATGATTAAATTGTTTTCATAATACAAATTATAAATTTATTATTAATAAAAAGACAATAGTAAAATGGCGCAAAATAGGCATTTCCATGGCATATATTTCCCGCTCAAGTTTGAAAATGGAGCAAAACTTGAATATGGAAATGAAAAGAAACAATTAATTCAACCATCAAGTAATAAAATTGAAATTATAGACTTATAATTTACAATTTCCCCAATATATGAACGTGGTGAGAATGCTAAGTTCGCGGCAATTGGGCTTGAAAACATGATCAATCCCTGTCGACTTAATGAAGAAGAAAATGAATAAGAAGAATGTCCGTTTCTCGATGAATATTAAGGGGACTGGGAAATTATTGGCCTACTGAATGTTGGAGCCAGTGCAGGTGATTTTGAACAATGAGTGATTGAATTTTGGTGGAAAAGTGATGGTGTCCTGAAGTTTGATGTGCCATGAACCGATCAGAAATTGTCTCGTGAGGTGTATTCCTCTATATTTTTGTTCTTCTTTTGGTTTTGGTATTCGGATTACATCGTATCTTCCATTTTCTGTACTCTTACTGTACTTTTTGTCACAAAATGAGATCAATAGTATGTGCATCTACAATTAACCTAAAAAAGTATTCATGTCCACATATTTTCGTGAATGATTTCTTCTTTCCTTTCTTCACCTAATGGAGACTGTTCAAGATTCTAATCACGTAAGTCGTAAGATCGCCTTATGCTAGATCTTCTTCTGTTTAATATTCATGACACTCAGCAACGTGTTAATCCCCGTTTCGAAAAAAAAAAGCAACGTGTTAATCCCAAGAAAAGGCTTATTTTCTGCAACTTACAGTAAAATATCGGTTAGTATTGTGAACTCTTTCAATTTTGAGAGGATATGCCCAGTGTTCAGCTACTCTTTGCAGTTGCCACCAAACTGCTTATCTTTGTACATATTACATAATTTGAGTTAGCACGAAGACATAAGAAACGAGGCAAACGAATCATGACCATCACATTCATGTCTAATACTCGAGAATGATACAAGTAAGATGCACATAGTCTACAGAAATACAATAGGAACCTTGTTTATTGCCTACTTTTCCATATGATAACTTATCCACCAAATTTATTTCGATGAAAGAAGAAACCAAAAAGAACATGAGGATGAAAATTTACAGTTTCGACTGTGTCTTCTTAGAGCCCCGACCAGCTATAAAGTCCTGCATTTTCTTAAACTGCTCTTTAGTCATACCATCATAATACTCGTGAGCCCTTTCCTGTAAGAAAGAGAAATCTGAATTAGGATCATTCACCGGTAGTCTATCAATTTATGGCCAGCAATGGACTTTGTACCATTTGCTAATAGATAAAAGTTTCTCAAAAAGTTTATATAGCTACTGCTCCTTTCATCACAAAAAAGAAAGTCACATTTCTCATTTTCGCATGGACTATATAGAGTGTGTTTGGTAAGCACATAAGTTAGCTTATAGCTTATTTGGTTAGCTTATAAGCTTCTGGTATGGGTATGGTAGGATGAGCTTTTTAAAAAAGCTCGAGCTTATATCATAAACTTCTTTGCCTCCTTGGGTAGTAGTATTTGAAATAATCCCGTTGAAATTTTTATTTTTAGCTATCTTTATCAGCTAATTTTACCACACTCTTTTAACATATCAACTAGTTTTAGCCAACAGTCATAAGCTATCAGCTATAAGCTCAAAATTCAATGACTAGCTAAGTTTACCAATGTAGCCATAATGCATTTCATATGCTTCGTAAAATCAAAACAATACTCAATTTTCCTGGCATATCCAAAGGGACATTCACTTTGAAACCAAGAAAATTGACAAAGGAGAATCAAAAAAGGGGAGGGCGTCGAATAACACGTCTTATAGAATGCAATATCAACTATCCATGATAGAATATTGAAACGTGTCCTAAAATAAATTGTCCTAAAATAAATATAATTGGCACATGTATTAATACATTAATTCATGGATGGCTCCATAAGAGAGCGTCATCCACTGGCTCTGGTCCATAGAATGTCTAGTAAGTAGTAATTATAGATCTAATTTTTTCTTGATACTTAACTAAAGAATATCATTTCTTGCAATGCTACTTTTTCCATTGAGGAAAACAAACAACACATATGAAAGTACTGGATAAGTAGGTAACTAATGACATCTATATATGCAGTTAAGACTCGGTACAAAATGAAATTTCTCAAGCATTTCATCTTAATGCAGCTCCTCCTTGAAACAAAAACGTGCAATTTTCTTGAATTAATATAAAAGTAAAGAGAATATCCTATCACCTTCTCCAAAGCAAGTGCACGACCCAATTCTTGCTTAAATCCATCGTTTATAACCGCTTTGTACCTCAGCACCAAGTCCTGATTATTCTTGATCATGGCCTCCGCAATTTGCCGAGCTTTCTGCAAAAGCTCATTTCCCTCGACAACATGATTGACCAAACCCCACTTTTCAGCTTGTTCGGCAGTTATAGGCGTGGCAGCCAAGGAGGCCTCACGAGCTCGACTGGGCCCTATTATGCGTGTAAGTTTCTGGGACAGGCCCCAAGAAGGAAATATCCCAAATCTGTTCCAAAAAAATATTCAAATTTCGACTAAGGTACTCCAGATGATTTAAGAGATCTGCTATACATGCCCGGCGGACAATATTCTCAACCAGTTCAAATCCATTTCATTTTATGTAAATATGACCTGTGTCACATTTTATGTAAATATGACAGTTGACACAGTGAACCCAAGAGAACATATTTCTCCTCATAATATGGTACATACAAGCTACAGATAACCCCTACAGGCTACAGATAACATAATTTACACCTAACATAATTTGTAATCATAGCTCATTCAATACTCAATCGATACATTCAATAATCACTTAATCAACAAACCAGAGCAATTCAATGCGTTCACATGACATCTCCACAGGTAATACCCTACGATTTCAAAGGGGGAATAAAGACTAAACACACCTGGCATGAGTGTCCATGAACTTAGCCTCTTTTGAAGCGACCAGCAGATCGCAGGCCAACGAGATCTCGAATCCTGCCGTCACCGCAAACCCGTTGATGGCTCCGATAATCGGCTTCCTACAGAGCTCCATTTGGGCGACGGGGTCGGTGTCCACATCCTTGACGTCTCCTTTGAACACGTCCTCCGCCGCCGTCAGATCAACGCCGGAGCAGAAGGCCCGGCCCGAACCGGTGACTATGATGACCCGGACCGAATCGTCCGACGCCAGCTGCTTGATCGACGCGGCTAGGTCGACCATCATGGCCCGGGTCAGGGAGTTGAGGGATTTCGGCCGGTTGATGACAACGTACGCGATGCCGCTCGGTTCCCGATGGACGAAAATGAGCTTCTCCGGCGGTGGGAGGGGGATCGCCATTGCGGTGGTGATACTTTCGATCTGGAAGGTACAAGTCCCCGATGCATGATTTGTGTATCTCGTGGATTTTACTTATACTGAAGTGCGTGCCATAGAATAATAATCTTATCAGGGGCGGAGGCAGACTTTAATGGCAATGGGGGCACAAATTACGGTCGACAGTAAACGCCATAGGTCAACGGTCAAATCATTATTTAACCAATTATAAAATAAAAATATTAAATCTTGACAGACACTATGTTTCTTATTTAATAGATAGGCTTGGATCTTATATTCTCATTTTAAGAATACTGACACATTTGATCCAATCTCTATATAGTATATACATTTTTGTACAATAATTGTTTTTATATATATTTTAGGAAGAAAAAGAAAATAAAAAAGAAGTTGAGTATAGCATACGTATAAATTCCACAAGTTAAAAAAATAACATACCATTAAAAGTTAAATAATTCTAAACATTTCTTTTTATTTTGTTATGTTGAAATAACTTTTCTTAATAATTAATATGTATTTTTTATGTTAATTAATACATTTATACATAATATATATATATATATACATACATATTACAAAAAAAAAAATAACAGGGCCCGTGCCCCTACGGGCCCCTGTGTAAATCCGCCAATGCTTATCGGGTGACGTTATGGGTAAGTGATGGAACAAAATGATTTACCAGCTTTTATTTCGACTAGTACTTACCCGCTCGCGCAGCCTGATATTAAAACATGACATGAAATGAATTATTATTTAAATAAATAAATAAATAATATTAAGAAAAATATGTAGAGAAATAATAAAAAGTAAAATAAAAATTTTATTCATTATATTTTAAACTGTTTTACTAAATATAACATTATTAGTAGATGAGCTGTATTCATTATTACCATTATCATCATCAAATAATAAAATCATCAGAAAATAGAGGTCCGTAATTATAAAAACAATAACATATAATGGATGTGATTATAAAATACAATATGTTTTGTAATAAATAGTTTCAAATTAAATAAATTCAACTTAAAGAAACATTTGTGATATTCAATGATTTGTCACATTGATAACGCTCCTTGAAATTTTTTGCCTAAAATATTTTGATAATGACATAATTTTTTTCATTAATAACTAAAGATAATATTAATACTATATAAAATAATTGAAATAAACATGTACAAAATATGAGTCAATTAAATACTTAAGAAAAAAATACAAAAATGACTCAATTTTGAACCGCGCATGCGTTTACCTTAAAATTAGGTCCACATATCTTTCACTTTTTATAATTTTCTAAATAAATATTAACTTCGTTTATTTGCAAAATAAGTACGATGGTGCTCAGAATGACGTGCAAGATCGATCACCTTATGTAAAGTTACAAATATGCACAATAATCGTTAATGCTCATGTCAATAACAAATTACTTATTTTTTTTCCACATAACTCATGTGGAATGTAAGTTAATATAATTTCGTCAAATGATAAGAAAATGACATTTAAATTATATTATATAAATTATAAAATAGTACAATTTATTTTGATGACACTAACAACTATAAAATATGATAAGAAAAAGTAGTTGATACATTATAGTAAGTCGTATTGAACTTTATCTATTGCAAAAATTCAGTAGCGATAATATATTCTTGTAATTATCTTAAGAGAAAAACATGTGTCATAATAACAAACAATTACCAATAGTTAACGCATTATGCTAATTTTATTAATTGGAATTTATAGTTGCATAATTGTGGATCAATAAATAGATTAACTGTAGGCAGTCACTTTAGTAAACTTTAGATGACCTCAAATTTAAATCCAAATAAAACAAATGATATCAACTAAAAAAAATAAACAAACTATGTATTTTGGGCTCAAATTATTCAATGATTTAGGACCAAAACTATTACAAAAGACCACATATACACCAAACATTATATTAAATAATTGAATGATAAATATACATTGTCCTACTCTGTCTATATAGTCAATATCGTCCATCACTCTTTGTCTCCCTTATGGTTGAGACACCCTCACTCTTTTAGTTATTACTATTATTTTTATTTCCCAATATCATTTCACAGTATTAGTACATTTCTTACTCGCAAATAAAACCAAATTCGATGTCATGTTCAAGCACTAAATCATTTAACTTTTACTTTGTATACAAATTGTGACAATAAACGTCCATCTAAAAGTAGAAAAATAAAAATATAATTGTCTATATATATCAAATTAGTTTTTTTTTATATACTTTCAAATTTTATTTTTTCTTTATATTTATAAATCATATTAAGATAACGATCAAGATGGGTCACCCTCAATGTTCAGACCAATAACCATCACTTATTTTGCACTAAATTTATGAGAACCATATTTAGCTTATTTTGTTAGAAATAAATATTGATATAATTCTTGCAAAGCAATACGAATAAAATACTTAAATTATTATATGTAACACTAAAACAATAAAATGTAAAGCTAACACTTGTGATGAATGATAAAAAAAAAAAAAGAAAAAAATAGTTGTTGTATTTGTACTATTTCGTGCGAAACTTTATTTGTCGTAATGTTTTGACAAAGACAATATCTTCCTATTATTCGTATGGAAACAATATAGATATACGAATAAAAAAAAAAGAAAATTAACTTGTTATGTTTTTTATTTAGAAATTGTAATTTTATAATTATGGACCAATAAAAAATCTAAAATAATGGCAAAAAAGTTTATGCACATTGTATAGAATGCCTCTTCATTATTTTGACAAAAATAAATAACTTATACCAACCAAAAAAAAATTAAACAATTTTTTTATTTTTTAGTTAAACAATTCAGATCAAAATCAATATAAATTTTCTCTTCAGTTTGACAATTATGAGTTGCACCTCTTTGATGTTCTCTAACTCTTTCAATTTATGTTGTCATTTTTTTTTTTTTAATAATAGTTTGAAATATCTATGTATTTTTTTACCTATAATATAATCAAAATTTGATGTTATGTTCGATTCTAAGTTGTCTTATTTTTTCTTTTCTTTTGTTTTTTTCCATATTCATGATTGATCTTAGTAAAAGAAACCTAAGTTCAGTTAAACTGTTATGTCAAAGTAAAGAGGTTACTCACTATTTTCGAGACATGGATATGAATAGTAGTATCCAATATCTGTAGATGATACTTTTTATTATACTTTTATAAAAATTTTATCCCTTTTAGTCAAATAAATTACATTACTTATGACAAATATAACTTTATATTATATCTCTCCATGTCTCTCATTTTTTACTTACTTATGACAAATAATTTTAAAATTTATTCTTCCATCAAAATTAGAGTACTACATGTTCTCTATGCATAATTATATATAATTATTTATTTATCTGTATAGAATAATTTAATTATTATTTTAATAATAGGTCATACATAAAAGTAAGAAAATTTAATTATAGGTAATTAATGTAGTTATGGAAGGAAAATATTTTTCTCCAAGCTACGTTACTTCATGTGTGTGTGTGTGTGTGTGTGTGTTAATATTATGACACGAATGCAAACTCTGGGGTGTTGTAGAAAATAATATAAAGTTTTCTTATCCAAAGAATTATTTTACTTACAAAGGAAGAAAATAACAAAAAAGATAAAAAAAATGATAATTGGAATGAAAATTCACGCTAAATAATTATTTATAAAAATGAATCGTCATAAAAAATAATTATATTTTGTTGTTTGAGTTATATTCATAATAATTAACAAATTAATTTAAAATATATTTGGCCATGAGAATTGGAGTGCAATCTTCCAATGCATAATAATATATTTATTTTTGTATAATAAAATATTATAATTATTATTTCAATGAGTGATCATATGTAGAAGGT